CATTAGTCGTCCTTGAAGGCCTGGAGGCGGATTGAGGGGCAGGCGGCTGGTGGACGTAAGCCTCTCCAGGGGAGGAAGAGGAGCCTGCGACAGACCACGATCTGTTGTAGGCTTCTCAGGAATGGGGGTCTGGCTGGGTGCCCCAGAGTGGACGATGGCCCTGCGGCCCAGATGTCATCGTCACAACCACCTGTGAGGTAGTTTGGGTGAAAGTGGCCGGCCCTCAGCTCGCCCAGTGGCCTCCCTGGGAGCGGCCTCTCCCCCTCGGATCCTGCCTCTTCATCCAAAAGCCACATTGCTGGTTTGTAGCCTTGTGGACACGCCAGACTACGATTCATGGCTTGGTGGGTTACCTGGCTCGAGCCCTGCTGCTGCCCCCCCCCGAAGACAAGACCCCTCCCCTTGGATCCACAAGCAAAAGGGATTCACTCCTGTCCCACTTAAGATTTAACGCAACGGGGCCACCTGTTCCTCACTGCCCAGCGTGGCCTTCCTGTAACGGATCCCCTCCCTCCCTCCCTCCCTCTCTTACCTGGGCTGCGCGGCCTCGGCCGAGCCCCCTCCTTCCAGGCATGCCCGGCCTGAGCTGGTCGTGGCCGCCGGTCTCTCTGCTCCTCGGCCTGGGCACACACTTCTGGCATGAAAGAGAGGAGCCTGGGGTGAGGGAGGCTCCCTCTGCCCACCCCGCCTGCCCCCCTCAGCATCCCTCCCTGGGGGGAGAGGGAGGGTCAGAGTACGGGGAGGGGTGGGGGGCTACAGGGGCTGGTGGCCTTTTGGCATTCCCAACAAAATGCCCTCCACCACTTCCCTCGTGCCACCCCCGCAGGGCTCTCATCCCGCCACACCCAAGAGCAGCCGGTCAAGAGGGGTCAGGATCCAGGCCCCGAGGACCCTGTGCCCAGCTAGGAAGCGAGTGGCGGCTGCCCACTTGATAGGCTAGCCCTAACCCTGGCCCTCCCCAGCCCAGCCTGCTCTCCCCCCCCCTCTAGGCCTGGAGGAGGGGCTGCGGTGGCTGGGACTTACCATTGATACAGATGGTCCCCGGGCAGCACATCCCGTTCCCTTGGCACCTCCTCCGCAAACCCTGGCAGGGAGCACAGAAGGGCAGCTGCTCCTCGGGGGGCTTGTAGCAATATTTCCCCACCCAGCAGTCTTTGTCGGTCAAGCATTGGGTGCTCTAGAGAAAGGAGGGAGGGAGGGGGGGTTGGTAGAAGACCCCAGGCCCGGGGGGGGGGGGGGGAGAGAAAGGGGACCAGCAAGAAGCGAGATCCAGGGGTGCGAGGTCTTACTTAGCCCAAGAGGCTGCCAGGAAAAGGGGGCAGTGGGGTGATGAGCTAAATTGGGGTACGGGGTGCAGACCAGGGAACGGAAGGGTCTTCGTTAGAGGACATGATCCTAAGTAATGCCGGCTCTTTCTGCCTGGAGGGGCCCCCGGGGGGGGCAATGGGGGCTCTTTATCCCAGTAAGAACCGCCTGCAGAAGCCCAGAGCAGGGGGGGCGGGGGGGGGCAGCCCTTTAAATCCCCCCCCCCGTGTTTTAAGTGAAATGGTGCGGTCCAGGTTAGCCCAAACAGACATGACCCCCCCACATAGGACTGCTTAAGTGAGAGGGAGGGGGTTCTGCCATATTCAGCAAGGTGCCCCCCCCCCCCCAAACCCCCCCCCCCCCCCCCCCCCCCCCCTTCGGCACCCCCCGCTTGGGCTGCCGCAGAACAGCCGGAAGGTTCCCCAAGCACCTCCCCCCCCCCCCCCCAACGGGAGGGGGGGGGGGGGGGAGAGAGATGAAGGGAGCTGTAGGTGAGCAAGCCCCTGGCCTGGAAGTCAGGTCCCGAAGACCAATAAGGCACCACAGTCTCCAGTGCCTTATCAGCATCCCAGTATCCTGCATTCCAGACTCCTCGGCGAGACCCTCCGTGGTACCAGAATCGGTCCCCAAATTAGACTCCTGCTCAGGGCAGCCTGAAGCATCCGCTGCAACTCGCCGTTCCCACCAAACCGCTCACCTTCCTGGAACCGGACACCTCGGATGAGCCCCGGATGGTATTGAAGTCAAGAACCAGAGCAGCCAAAGGGGAGCAAAGGCAGGTGAGCCCCAGAAGGAAGGTGGCCTCCATCTTCTGCCCTGCAGCAGGACTTCGGTGGTGCCTGGAGACGTCCCGTCCGTTCCCAGGGCTAAAACATCGCTCCGTGGTACCTTGAACGGAGCCTTTGGGATGCTTCTAGGGGACGAAGGCGTTCACCTGCCTCTGGGGCCATTCCGCCACCTTATTTATAGTGACCTGCTCCCCTTTTCCTTCCTCTTTGGACCCCCCACTCTCTGAAAATCCCTTTGATCGCTACTTCAAAACAAGCCATTCAAAGGGATCTGGGGGGGAAGCAGGCCAGCAGAGGCCGGCTCCTCCCCTCGCCAGCAATCCCTAATTACAGCATATCAAAGTCAGTTCAAAGGGCCAGAAAGGGAGGCGGATGTAGGTATCAAAGGCACCTGTTGGTAATCACCTGTATTTCCTGGTCTTTGTAATCCCTTGCAAAAGTGGGTTTTGTTCTGGGATCTGCTTTCACAGCTGACAGATGATTCCCTCGACCGCCCTGGGGTGGGGAGGAGCAGGAGGCCGGGCGACACGGAGCAGCAGCAGCAGCAGCGCTTTCAGCTTTCGGCAGCTGCCCAGGAACACCTGCTGCTGCCGCCACCCAGGTCCCACTTTGAAGGAAGCGCCCCTTCCCCTGGCCACGAATGCGGCTATTGTTTTCGAGAATGACGAAGAGGCTTCCTGGATCTTCCAGGGCTTAATCCCAGCCAAATCCTCCCAGGTGACGCAGAAAAGACGGGATATCGCAAACTGAAGCGAAACCGTTGGACCTGCCAAATGGCCAACTGTCTCCCGCTCTAAGCTCAGCCGGACTGGGCCACGAGGGGCTGCCCTCCGCTCCCTCGACCTTCAAAGTCGGCCAGTGGGGAAGGAGCCTCCCACCCTGCCCTGTCCCAGTCCGCCCAGGCAGGTCCTTCGAGAAATTCCTTTCCTTGGTGGGTCTGCCGATCAATCGAAGGGCTTCTTCCCGTTGTTCTCCTTTGTTCCCCATCTTCACTTGGTTGATGTTGTGGCCCTTTGGCCTCGGTGTCACTTCAGGGTCCCTTAAACTAACCCTGTGTGCGTATTAACCCTATGACTCGATCGACATCACCGCTTTTGGTTAGTAGATGAGGAGAAGATCCCACCTGAGGGCCACACAAGTTGGATTTGTAGTATCAAGAAGATGGACTTTGTAATACTGTTGTACTTGCTAACATGGCTATTTTGTACTTGAATTGGATTAATTTGTCTCTCTTTATAAAATGATGTCAATGGTTCCCCAGGTCAGGATAGGATGGGATGTCTGGAGTTCGTCTTCTGACAGAGAGAAAGCTTTTGAGCGCTAATTGGTATTGGGTTGTTCTTTTCCTCATTAACATCTTAAATTTAACTTTCGTCAGATCTCATATTAAATGGACCTCTGTGTTGCCACATGTCATATGCTTTAACTCCTTCTCAGCTCTGCCATCTTCACAAGGCTTCGCTAAGCTTGCTGGCATCCTGGCATAAATGGGGCAAAGGAATTTGGGCAACTTGTACAAGGGAAAAGAAGGGTGGGAGGGAGGGAGGGAGGGAAAAGACAATGACAGGGACCAGAGATGTCAAACTGGACTAAACCAGCCCACCCAAGGACGCCTGGCCTGGGAAAGAATGGGAAACCTCTTCCAGAGATGCCTAACATCAAAGCGGTCCCCAAAACATCAACCAAGCAGGATGCTATTGGCCACTGAAAACCTGGACCAGGAGGGAGGGCCACAGAAAGGGGAAAGCGTGTAACCTTTGCACAGGAATACTCAGATCCAGCCTTGCTTTTGCTGCAACCGCTGATCCTTAGTAAAAGAAGCCTATCGCTTAAACCAAAGGGAATCGAGGAGGGTCTCTCTTTCCAAGGGACCCACCTGGGGCAGGTCTAACATGAGGCTAGATCTGCAATGCTGGTCCACCTGGAGATGGGTCTCTACCATGGGGACCGTGCAAGAAGTGTCGGCTCACCAGAGTGACCAGGAGGAGACGGAGGCACGGGGGCAACCCGCAGCTAAACCCCCTGGCTCTGCCTGCTGCTTGGGCAGCCCAGTTCCAAACCGGCCAGGGCCCAGTACCAGGTCACGACCCCGGGGGCTGGGGGCTCCTGGTCTCTTAGGTACGTTTGCCACCTGGAGCTGTTTGAAAAATAATAGTAAAGGTGGGGTGTAAATAAACCCACAGACTTTTGCACAATGTCATTTTTTTAATTAAAAAAAAACGAGGCTCAATCACGAGAGATGTAGCCAGCCCTTTGAAGCCGGGAATGCCCACGGGTTGGTGTTGCTAGGCCTGCCCTCCAGTACGGGGTATTATGGGATGGGGACTGAGAGCGAGACCCTCGTGGCCTCGGAAGAGAAGCTCCGCAGCCGCAGCCGGCAGAAAGGCCAGAGAGGAAATCCTAAAGTCCGCTGAGGAGGAGCAAGGCAGCCCTTAGGAAACGGCCAGCCAGGCGGCCTCCTCCTCCTCTTTTCTGCCCCTGGCTGGGTTCACTCATTCCTTTCTCTCCCACCCACAAAGGAAAGTTCAGCAAAGAACTGAAACCCCCTTGACTTATTCAATCCTTCACGATCCAGGAAGTGCCGAAAAGCAGCCCCTCTGCCCAGCCCCTTCCTCTCTCCCGGCTGCGTGGTGGGTCCCAGCACAGAGAGGGCAGCTGTCCTCCCAGCACCACCGAGATCCCTGCTCTCCTCCCATCAGGCAGGGATTATCATTGGGCTGGCCAGCTGAGCCCACGGAACCGGCCCTCCCTCCCTCCCCCTTCCTGCCTGCCTGCCTGCCACGTTTTCTGCAAGGGTCCTAAGCTCCACCCGGCCCCTCTAGGGTGGGGGAGGATCAGGCTGGCTCGGAGCCCACCCACCCACCCCCAATCTCGGGAAGAGGGGGGGGGGGGGGGGCGGCCCCCCCCCCCCACCCCCCCCGGGCCCCCCCCCGGCCGGCGCCCCTCCCCCCCCCCCCCCCCCCGTGAAGGCCTTCCTGGCTAGTGGTGACGGTGGCAGTGGTTGAGGTAGTGGCGGCTTTCAGAGGTCCGAGCGCTCCGGCCCAGGGGGGGCCGCCTCCTCCTGGGCCGCCTCCTTCATGTTGGCGTAGGCCACCTCCTGGGCCAGCTGAGAGAGCGGGGGGCGGCCCAGCACCAGGTTCCGCAGGGAGATGCTGGTCATCAGAAGGCTGTGGGCAAAAACCAAATTGGAGACTCTGTCAGGAGGAGGCACACAACAACACAACGCAAGCTGAGCCTGTGTGCGTGCGTGCGTGTGTGTTAAGAGCACAAAAGTGGTTTAAAAAAAGGCACATCCCACAGAAAAGCCTGCTCTGGGGTGGTTGTTTTTTTGCCGATACCTGGACCGGAGAAGACGGTACTGACTAGATTTGCCCCAAGTTGGAGGAATCATGGGAGATTTTCATCCGTTCGTTTACAGGAAAGGAAGAGATCCTGAAACGGTTTATTCTTGGCGTCACGAGGCTGGGAAGTCACTTTCTTGGGGTTTTCCTTTTCTACTGTTCTTTCGTTTTTCTGTCCTCCTGCACCTTTGACTCTTGCTTGATATTTCTCTCTTAAGTCTGTGTTACCTCTGGCAATAATAAAATGGTTCCACGCCGAGCGAAGGCGGGGCCTCCCCTCCCCCTCCGCTCTCACCTCCTGCGGAAGACGAAGTACTTCTTGCTCAGGAAGCGCTGCAGCCGCTCGGCCAGCGTGGCGTTGCGCCGCCTCTGCCGCTCCTCCATGCGCCGCTGCCGATGGAGAAAAGCCTCCACGACCGGGTCTGCCAGCGTGGCGTTTCCCAGAGAGTCCGCCAAGATGGGCTGCAGCTCTGGCGGGAGAGGCTCCGTTTCTGCGCAGAGGGAAGCGGCAGAAACAGAAGGTGAAGCGCCTTCCGAAAACCAGGCAAGGACAAGAACAGACCAGAAGAATAGCAGAGATGGAAGGGACCTTGGAGGTCTTCTAGTCCAACCCCCTGCTTAGGCAGGAAGCTCTATGCCGCTCCCTACAAATGGCTGGTCCAACCTCTTCTTAAAAACCTCCCGTGTTGGAGCAGCCAAAACTTCTGGAGGCCGGTTGTTCCACTGGTTCATGGTTCTCCCAGTCAGGAAATTTCTCCTTAGTTCTAGTTGCTTCTCTCTTTGGTCAGTTTCCGCCCGTTGCTTCTTGTCCTGCCTTGAAATGCTTTGGAGAATAGCTGGACTGCCTCTTCTTTGGGGCAGCCCCTCAAATGTTGGAACACTTCTATCATGTCACCCCCAAGTCCGGGCCCCCAGCTGGCCTGCAGGCTTACCAGTCCCGTTCCGAACTTTCTCCCGCAACTCCTGAAGTTGGGTGAAATTCCGCTCCAGGGCCACCTCGGTCGTGTTGACGTAGAGATACATGTAGCAGGAGGGCTCCCGGGAGATGGTGAAGACGTTGTGGTACTCCCCGGCTGGCAGCTGTGGCCAAGAGAAAAGGGCAGAGGGACTCTGGGTACCTGGGAACAGCCCCCCCCTTCCTGAGGGCCAGGCAGCACTGGCATCTAGGCCGGTTCTCACGCTGGGGAGTGACAGGCCTTCCCAAAGAGCCCAGCTTGCAAGAGAAACTGGCACAGGGCAACTGATGCCAACTGGCCACAGGTGGACTGCATGGGGGGGGGGAGGCTATAGCTAGCCGTGCAGATGTGTCTATATACAGATGTGTGCATCTGCAAACCGTAGGCCCATGCACACAGGCCCAGGCAGGCCCACGTGGACTTAGGATCCCATCATGCTTCTTCCAGCCCTTTGGAGACGTTCACTGGGCAGGACAGAGCAGCCCCCACTCCCTTCCCTCCTCCTCCAGCAAAGCCATTTCATCCGGCTGCGTTGTCATGGTGGATGGTGAAACACAGCACGGTTGAGAGGTTCTTTTCAGAGGCAAGTTGGCTCTTTGGTTTGGCAAAGGCCACACCCGAAGGCCACACCCAGCCTAAAGGGCTGCCTCCTCCTGATGTGGTTTCTCATCGTGTTATGAGGCCCTGTCCAGTGGATGTGGGGCAGGTGGGCTGCCTAACCCCCCCTCCTCTTGGACCAGTGCCTCAAGGGCACAGGCCAAAGTTCTCCCCGCACAGCACCCAGCCAGGGCCTCACCTGGATCTTGTCTCCCTCCTGCAGCGTGTAATTCCTCTGCGAAGCGACAACCTCCACCGTGACTTCCCCTTTCAGCAAATGGAGGCTGGTGTTGCCCAGGTCCTCGCTCACAAAGTTCTCCAGGTGCAGCCCTGCCATGGGATGGGGTGGACAGCCAGAAGGTCAGCAGCAAAGACCACAGAAGCGCCCACAGCTCTTCCCACATCTCAGCCGCTCCCCCAGCGAACGAGAGTTCGCCCGGCTTTGAGCCCCAGCCTGCGACTCCTTTTCGAAGGTCAGCACCACATTAACAAGGCTCCTTCCTTGTTAAATGCTGGAGGCAATAAGGAAGCATGGAGTATCTTTCTTTCTCTAAACTTTGCTGAAGAAACATACGAATAGACTCTAGGTGTGGCTTTTGTTTGCCACTTTTAACTTAGCTGCAGCTTTGGACCGTTTTGTTGTGCTGAAATTTTCTGATTTTTATGAATTCTGATTGGCCAGGAATGGTTGATTGAAAAATCTACTCTTTGGCCACAAGAGGGAGCTATGAACGCGGACTGGACTGGATTGTCAGAGGGGTTTGAAAAATACTTAAATAAAACCCAAAGGTGCTTTTTTCCCCAAGAGGCTTCTGGGTTGTCTGGGTTTTCTTTGAAGACGTTCCGCTTCTCATCCAAGAAGCCCCACTGAAGCAGCAGCCACAGTTTCTGCAGGGCGCAAGCCTTTATCTGAGGCCCTGAGGTCTGTTTCCACCGCAAGGATTCAGCCGGAAGCCTTCGCATCCAAGCCACGCCCACCCCGTGGATTTGGGTTTAAAACGAAGATCCAGTTCTTAAGAGAACAGAAGAAAAAACTCAGTACCTGGGAAATCTGCAATGAAGACAACCTCGGTCTGGTTGTCCAGTGACTTTTCAATCTCTATCAATTTGGTCCTCCAGGGTGACAAATCAATCAGAAGAGGCTTCAACCACGGGGTCTTCTGGAAGGGGGACCAGGGGGCTCGGACAATGTCAGTGTTTGGGTCGAAGAGCCTGGGGAAAACAGGAATGAGAAAAAGGTTACATTCAGGAGACAGTGGACCATGGACCATGGACCAGTGGAAAGAACCGGTGCATCTGCCTCTTGGCCTGTTCTAAGCCCAGGAAGCTACCGTATTTCCATGTATCATTTTCCTGAATAGATTAGAAGCCACCAATTATGCCAATATGTCAAATCAAACTTTAACATGGTCGTAGGCCACCAGAAAGAGGACGGGATAACTGATAACTGTCAAAAAGCAAAAAATATTAAAACAAAAATTACACACTATATATATATATATATAATGTATGTATGTATGTATGTATGTATGCATGTATGTATGTATATATATGTATATGTATATGTATATATGTGTGTGTATTAATATTTTGGGGGAAGTATTAATGTTTGTTTTAATATTAAGTGGATGGAGATATATATATATATATATAATTTGTTTTCTTAAGTTTTAGCGGGTACTTACATGTATGGTATTCAGCTTTGTTCAGGTATTTTCCCACGTCATTATAGTTGTGCTTTTAAAGTTGTAGCAATATATATGGGGAGGGGTAAAAGATTAGATAAATACAAAAAACTAATGTTTCTGCTAATATATACTATGGTGCCAGTGGGCCTAACTTTATGTTTTAGACATTATCCAAGATCTGATCTCTGTTCCTTCCTAGAACTGAATGGGAAGCAACTTCTCCATCTCTAGCCAACCCCAACTTCTTCCCATAAGCTGCCCAAATGAGGGGCCTTTTTTCCGTCATCCCAATTTTGCAACTTTTACATTTCCACATGACAAATTCCAAAAAGAACACTCTGCCTGGAAGCCACATTCCTTGAAGATTCTGTCAACTACAACACATGTGGTTGTTGTTGCTGCTGTTTTAAAACAAATCCACGTAATAATTGGCCCGGTCTGCAGAGGGGTGTGACCGCCGGCTGTCTCACTAACCTTTGCTGGAAACGATCGTTGATGGAAACCCAAACATCAAAGTAGATCTCCGGTTCCGAGACGTTGTAGTTGCTCAACAGGTGACTGAGGCAAGTGGCGTACTGCTTCAGCATGTCCGCATGGTCCTTCCAGCGCCGGCTCTGTGTGAAGACCTGCTCCAATATATACAGACCTCAGCTGGAACACAGGTGCGCAGGGGGCAGAAGGGAGGGGCGACAGAGGAGGGGGGAGAAAGAAAGAAGGACGCAGAGCATTGGATGGGCCATTGGAGCAGAGGCTGGGCGGGCGGGCGGGGGGGGGGGGGGGTCAGAACCTCTAAGCCCAAATCAGAAGCGCAACTTCCAAGGCTGATACCAAAGGCAATCAGCGTACTTCACTGGGGTGTTTTGTCCTGGCTGCTAAATAGTCACGGCACATGGAGCAGCTAGAAGGAACAAGAGCCTCAATTATGGGCTGCCCGGTAGAACCTTGTGGGGAGAGTAATAGGACCGTGTCTATTGACTCAGCCTATATTTAGATACAAGTATGTACGCGTTAACCAGCGACATTCTCCTCTGGGATATCCAAATCCTGCTCTTCCTTCAATACGAACGGGCAATGTCTCCAAAACCCAGTGTGTTTCCACCCCCCCCCCCAATATGACTTCAAACAGCCATGCGCTATGCTTGAGATCCTAAGCTTTAAAAGGTCTTCCAAGAGTGGAAGGGAGCATAGACCACAACTCTGGGGAGCATCCTTAAAAGAGCGGGGTCAAATTTTCTGGGGTCGAATTGTATCTCGCTAAATGCTTTCCGCTCCTCCTCGATGTAAACATGTCTTTTTCTGGGACTGCACAGCGATAGTCAAGGCCCAGGAAAAGGCGCAGTTTGGTAATCTGAAGCCAGTTTGCGGCTCCTGGTCTGAAGTGCAATATAAGCATAAATAAGCATGAAAATTATAGTCCAGGCTCTGCCAAAGACTCCCTTCCACAGCCCCAATATACATTAAAATAATCCCGTAAGGCTGGCAGAGATTATTGCTCTGGATCTGTCCACTAATACTGTTATAGTCTCAAGGATCCAAATCCCAAGAAATGCCAGAAATTTAACTACCAAGGGTCTTGCAAATGTCTTCATGTCCAGCTTCTCTGGACATCACTAAATCTCTTAACTGGCACAACTGAAGAAGGGCCTTCCAATAATTTGGGAAACTCTGCTTGGGATGCGGCTGGAAAAGACTAGTTTGGAGCCCATTAAATAAAGGGAACGAAGAAGGATTAGCAGGCGTAGAAACAAGGGAAGGAAAATCTTAACAAAGTTGTTCCAATTCTTGGATCCATAATATACGTTTGTTTGGGAAGGAGAGCCTTTGGTTGCCCTAATCCAAGAATACACATAAAATTGTATCAAAAAATCATAACTTCTGCAAGCACCAATGGGAAGGTTTTCCTCTTGAAGTCCACTAAAGAAATTGTCTCTCCAAACACAACCTTGCCTCTTTACTGCTTCTGCATAGACAGTTGTACAGACACCGTCACGCTCATACGACACATGGCTTTTTTTACAAACACACATGCAGCAGGCAACCTGACAGGTGGCAAACTGCTGTACAGCACAGAAGGATCGCTCACACCCGTGTTTGAAGAAGCCACTGTTACTCCAGACTGTATCATTTCAGGGCACATTGAAAAGAGAGAGAGACTGACCCCAGGGTTCAGGTAGCCGATCTCCCCAGTGCGACCATCACGGTAAGTAATCTTCACGTGTTGGTGGGAGCGTGAATGGACCATCATGTCCCACGAGTAGCCATAGAGCCCGTTTGTCCAGTTGTTGTAGCCCTGCAGGGAGAATGGTTGGGGGGAAGAGCTGACTATTCCCAGAATAAGAACCACTTGCTGTTCTTCTCATTCCTTGAACAATCCCCAAGACCCCTGATCTCCCCTCAGACTCTTCCTTGGGGCTGTTTGGGTGAGTAAAACTATACAGAACTGGAGCTCAACCACACAGCCGGGATTCAAGTTTAATCAGTGGCTCTTCCGTGGCTGGACTACTACTATGAGGAGGACACAGAGAAGGTGTTTCTCGGAGGGGCTCCATCTTTTCTGTCGATTGGTGAGCTCCACCTTGTCTGGATCAGAACTATGGAAAACGTCATCAATCAAATACTATCAGGTCTAAACCTTTTGGTTCAGAAACCATTTATGGTTTAAAAAAAATACTTAGGTTCTTTCTCACCTTGGTAATGAAGTGTGAGTAAGGTAGGAAGAACTGCTCCATGATATACAGAATAGTAAAAATGGCACCCAGCTTCTGCCGCAGCCCCAATTTCCTAGCTGCTCCCCTGGGCCTTTGTTGCTCCGTTTCCAGATAAACGCACTCCAGGCTCGGCTGCGGAGGCTTGGTAAGTGGCAGGAACTTTTGGAAGCAGGCAGGCAGCCTGGCAATCAGTCGACGTGGCCAGTCCGGGTAGCAGAAGAGCGGGCTGGTGGCCAGCATGGTGTAAGAAAACATGCCTTTGGGATGAAAAGTTGGAGTATGGTAGAAGGACAGGTGTAGGCTGGTCCCTCAAAAGGCAAATCACCTGCTCTGCATCCATAAACATCTGCCTGGACACCCAGCAAATACTCAGGTGGGCTCAGGAGAGACTCCTGCTGACATGGAGTCTGGTCACGGGGGCAACCCGGACCGAGATTTATTGAAAACTTTGTTAAATTCATGGCCCCCTTTTCCTCCAGGAGCTTAAGGCATCCCAGGTGGGGTCTCCTTACACTTTATCCCCCAAGACCATCTCTGTGAGGCAGACTGGACTGAGAGGGACTGACTCAAAGACAACCCTCACTGTAGGCGGAACTGAACCGGAGTCTTCTAAATTTTAACCCAGGGCATTCTCATGGTGTTGGCTTTCCTTCAAGCATACGCTAAATCCGTACCAACAAACAATACCCTATCAGATAATCCGCCTTTAACAAAAGCTTGTTTGTCTAGTCTTGGCGAAGGCATCATTATTCATGCCAGGTGTGCAGTTTTTGCAGGCATTAGTTAACCACCCCTCACAAAAACAGACTAGAAGTGAAGTCCGGTCCTAACCCTTTTTAACACAACCTTTATTACTCAACACCCGACTTTTATAAGTTCTCGTGTGGCAGTTAGATCTTGCAGAAGAACTTACCAATATTGAAAATTTGGGAATTCATGCAGTGGAAGTAGGAGACGAAGAAAAGGGCAAAGGGACGGGTAGCATCCAGGAAGAGCAGAAAGCCAGCCGTCAGGTCCAACGCAAGCCCTCCACCGTGCACCACCAATAAACTGGTCAGTTCCTCGGACATCAACAACCTAAGGGACCAGACAGGTGCCTTCATCCAAAGTTGCAATGTCCAGGAGGGAGGAAGAGGAGGGACCCTCCTGCTGCCGCCTCTTCCTGGTTTCCATCACTCACCTGAAAGGGCTGAAGAGCCAATGCCTCCCAAGGGAGCCCATGGAGTAGCCCTCTACCCAGTCAGCATCCAGCTTCTTGATGCCCGCGATGAAATAAACAATGAAGATCTGTTCAGAAACAAAGGCCACAACATGCGACTCCGAGGCAAACGTAGCTGGCAAAAGGCACGGAGCAGCAGCCGGCGACTCCCGTAGCCATAGGAAGCAGCAGACAGGCTGCCATTTCCAAACCAGCTTCCAAGTTTCAACTTCCTGCCAAAATTTCCATGGTCAATTTCACCACTCAAACTTCTTCGGCCACAAATGACCAAAACAAACCTCACAGGAATTTGGAATGTCACACTGAAAGACATTGGGTGGAGAACCAGAACTTAGAATAACTGTATTGCCACTTTGTGAATGTCCACTGAGCAGCATACATTAAAATGAAATTTCATTACACGCAGCTCTCAAAGGGTCACCTCATCCAGTACATAAACAATATACCCACAAATATATGACACAGAGAAACAACAAAGACGGGGCAATGGTAAATTTCATTTCATACTGTCCACATCCACACCTAACCTAAAATTAAATAGTAGCTCCCAATATTTGTAATAATTTACCCATTCTGTCATCTTAAATATTACAACAGGACGGCAACTCTGACAGGGCCTCTGACAAGCCTAAGAACCCAGAATCGTGGGAAGACAGGCCTGGCTCCTTCCCATTCTAGTGGAATCCATCAGACATTAGAGCCGGTGGCTTCCCCATTTCCACATGGCCTCCTGAGACGCTGGTGCCAGCATGCAATGCAGACCAAGCAACACTAGCTGGGTCCTCTTCATTAGCCCCGAAGCAGACCCGTTTGCTCTTAGAGGAAACCAAGATGGAAGATGGCGCAGCTCTGGAGCATACCTGCGTACGAAGAACGGTGTAGTTCCACAAAGGGACGTGAGCATTTCTCTTCCGTGGATGCCAGAGACCATCAATAGACCTGAGGAAAGGAAGCCCATTAGCAAGAATAGGAGTCTGCCCTGGAGGCAGTCTTGAAAAACAACCGATACTTCAGTAATATCCGGAAAAACCTTTGGGTGAATTAACTCAAGAACATCTTGATTCTTGAACATTGTCTCAATAAAGCTGATTCTAAGCAGCCCAGAATAAACATCAGGCACAAAAAATCAGGACCATTCATAAAGTTAAAGAATAGAAGATCTGAATAACATATGCCTATAGACAAGAATCCGGCCAACTAAAGTGCAGCACTAAATTGGTGCCAGATTAAGGGTCAACGAAATTCAGGAAGGGTTGGACTTGGAGCACTTGTAGGAACACAAAAGCTCTAAGCTGATGACATGCTTAACTCTGCCCGCTCCTCTACGTTCATCGCACAGAGTTTACTAACAGTTTTGTTTTACTGAAAGTAAGTATTGGGTTTTAGGTCAAAATTAGAAAACAATACCATTAATTTCCTCGGTCACCCAGAAGATGAAAAACCAGCTTTCTCTGATGGTTTGAAGAGGGTCATCTACAGAATATTAGGATTTCATGCACTTGGTTTACTTGAGCTTCATTTCCAGCTCATGAAAACACAGAACATTGTGAAAGGACGATGTGATCATATGCTGTAAAGGTCTTCAAGGAAGACAGTGCAGATCTTGGGAGGAAGACTATGGTATTAGTTGGTAGCAAGGAAAAGAAAGGACAAGATGAGAATCCAGAAGGGAAGATCCCAACATTCGATCTGTTGCTATAAGCGAGTTCTCAAGGGATGGGAAAAAGCTTCATCTTGGAAAACCAGTTTCCGTTTTCATGTGACAGAATAACAGAGTTAGTTGGAAGGGGTCATGGAGGTCTTCTAATTCAATTCAAGCAGGAGACCCCAGACTATTTCTAGGGTCAAATGGCTGTCCAATTTTTTCTTACAAACCTCCAGTGATGGAACACCCACAACTTCTGAAGGCAAGCCGTCCCACCGGTAAATTGTTTTAAACTGTCAGAAAAAAAATCTCCTTTGTTATGGGTTGCTTCTCTTCTTGATGAGTTTCTATCCGTTGCTACTTGTCTTCTGCTGCTTTGGAAAATAGTTTGATCCCCTCCTCTTTGTGGCAGCCCCCCAAATATCGGAACACTACCATCGGGTCTCCCCTGGTCCTTCTTTTCACTAGACTAGACATACCCAATTCCCGCAAATGTTCTTCGTATGTTTTAGCCTTCAGCTGCCAAACCATTTTTGTTGCTCCTCTCTGCACTCTCACTCACACTGAACATCTTCCTACGTGAACCTCATGTATTTGTTAACAGAGTTGATGAGTTTGGTGAAGGCTTTAACTTCCTGTGTTTGAATCTCGATCCAAGTATTGTCCACATACCTATACCAGTGAATAGGTTGAAGGAGTTTAGGGCTTTGGTTTCTACTTCTTCCACGTAGAGATTGGCCACAGTGGGTGACGCAGGTGACCCCATGGCACAGCCGTCTTCTCTGCAGAAACCTTCACTGTATTTAAAACAGGCAGGGATCGGGTCCAGCATGGCACATATGTGGTTCGCCTAAAGTGATGCTTTGTAGCAGCTGTTTCTTCACTACGGTGGCAGCTTCTGTGGTTGGAATGCAGGCTTTCTGCCGCTGCATGTGACTCTGGCAGACTCCAAGTTGGGGCAAATGTCAACTTTCACTTATGCAACCGGAACGACAGGAAACATGTTTGCTTGGCACAGCCTTGATCTGAAGGGGGGGGAAAGCACCGTGGGCCTTGCCAAAGCCCACAGAGCGCCACGGAGGCTTACCAATAGCGATTCGCATTCATGAACAGCAGCTGGAAGCCCAGGAGGCCGTAGAGATAGGAGTGGTTGTTCCAAGTGGTTTTGTCCAGGAAGAAGATATACCAGTAAGGCAGCAGGAAGAGGAGGCAACTCAGTCGGTAAAAGCAGCCCAGCGTGACGCCCACAGCACCTAAGGAAAGAAGCCGGGGAGGCGAGAGGGGTCGTCCCGAGGCTTTCGGGGGCTCAGGATCAACCAGACAAACTCCGGGCATTTTCTGGGAACACATTTTTCCGCTTGATCTTTAACCCAAATTGGAAAACCTTGGCCTCGTTATCGGTACGGCAAGATTATTTACGTAGCATGCAGCTAACAGAGAAAAACAACCGTCATCTCCTCACCTCCTTATTGTTTTTGTACAAAGAGTCTGGTATACAATAAAAGAACAATCAGTTAATTTACTGCCACATTTGCGTTATAATGTCTAATCCAGCCTGTAGCTACCCTCGTAAGCCCTCCCACAATCCACCCCTTGAGTTGACCAAGGGATATATTTACGCTTGGCCACTCCTCTCTTACGGCTGGCAGCGGGTAGATTTTATTGACGGCATTTGTCTTCTCCCTCTGGCAAGCTGGGAAGTCGGCAGCTTTTCTGGCCTCAGCCGTCTTGATTGCTGGTGGGCTTCAGACTACACTGGAACCAGTAAACCAGAGGCCTCCAAACTGGGCCACTTTAAGACTTGTGGACTTCAACTCTCAGACTTCTCCAGCCAGCTATGCCAAGTTTGGGGACCTCTGTGTTTGTGGAGTTGAAGTCCACAAGTCTGAAAGTGGCCGAGTTTGGAGAGCCCTGCAGTAAATCTTCAACGGCCAGAGCTGCCCAAATTTTCTAGGGTTCTCTAAATACCTTCTTTTTCCCTTATAAAACTGCAGCTCCCTTCATGCGAAGCAATGTTCCCCGCCTTCCCCAGCCCCACCTTGGGTGCC